AACTGATGCTGTGGAGCTAGATCCCCATGGTAACTCATGCTGTGGAGCTAACCTGGTCGGGAGCAGGTTATGTACAGAGTTTCCAATTTTAATCGGCTGGAAAGAGTGTCTCCCTTTAACCAAACTGTTTACTGACTATTATTTATGAGCGATGCAGATTCTCACCTGAGGGAATCTGTTTTGTCTGCAAACATGCTGAGTTGTGCGTTGCTAATATCACTGAATGAAGCCGTGCAGGTACAGTATCACACACTGTAAATATCACGTTGCCATGGAAACCCGGCATCTTAAATTGGCGATGCAGAAATCACATAAATATGTTTTTATATTTGGCTCTGATTTGCTGTCCAGTCCGTTTACACTGCTGGTACTGTAGCTGACAAAACACAGATAGAAAATGGATCATTCTGCTGGTATTTATTAGAGAATATTCAATCAATAACATTAATTTCGCTCTGATTTGGCCAAAAATTAAAGTGATATCCTGCATTATGGGACAGTGTCAGACCGAACTGCACTTCAATACAAGATCATGTCTAAACATAGCAAGTCTAAAGTTTAACTTTAACGTGCAGCTGTCAGTTGGAAATAAGCGGCTGCATAAATAAGACATTGCATATCTTTTTCTGTTTTCTACCAGCATTCCTGTCTTGCATCATTTGCAGTAGCGGTGCTTTTTACCGTCATAATTTTTTATATTCCTCATTGTTCTCCATTAAAACAACGTGCTGACTGAAGCAGCTGAACGCGATCAGTTTATTTTGTGCAGAAGAAGAGTCATGTGACGCGTTAAACGCCCCTTTTTATGTGAACGTGCACCGAGTCTGAAGCAGAAAGTCTGAGTTGAGTCGATAACCACCTTCATGATACATGTGATCTCTGGCTGGGGCTTTAGGTTTTTGTTGAGCCAGCTTACACAAAGAAAGCCCGGCTATGTCAAACTTGCTTGGTAGTACACCCCTCAGACATAATCACCGCAGTGACACAGCAGATTGGACAGAACATCAAATGGTGTGTAATGCAGATTAATGCACTAACAAACAAGACTAAACTGTTTCTTCTCCTTTTAGCGCCACATCGTCTCTTGAAACTGCTTTTTTTTTCTCAGCAAAGGTTGTTCCCATATAACCCAACGACAAAGTAAAACTGTTCTCTAACAGCTCTTCTGTCACAGATGGTTCAGAAACTCAAGCACGAAGCAACAGAGACGCAAACACAAACTCTCAATAACGATAGAACAACTTTTCTACAAAAATATGCACAACTTAAACAGGAAACAGGACACAAAATCACAAAATGGAAAACGGGGATACAACTGGGAGACACAGGAGACACCCACGGGACGGGAGGTGAATTACACCAAAACCCAAAACCGCGACTAAATTGAACAATCCAATAACTAATATTGACAAGACGGGAATTTCATTACAAGGGGGGAAACCAACCAGGACTTGGTATGACCAAGCTGGGAAAGCTGAATAACTACATTCTGGCAAACATGTACACGATGGCACAAACAACTTGATGATAAGGCAGAACACAGAGAATTATTCATTTTTGCTTATATACCACAATTCACAACATACGTCATCTCACGGCGCTAAACATAGTAAGGTGAAGACCTTACGAATTTTTAACAGAGAACCCAACAATCCAAACTTGCCTTTGGATTCCCTCTGAACAAGCAATCGGCAATGGTGGGAAGGAACCAAAATATTATTGGACTGCTATATTTACAAAAAGCTACAATTTCTGTCCATGTGTGACGATCATCTAACTGCTATTTCCCAACAGTGTAAGAAAGACTTAATCGCATCGCAATTTTAGTTTTATGGACATTTCAGTCTGCAGTAAATGTAAAATTACAGTGCAAAGAGAATTAGAAAAGAATGGTTTCTTTTGCACACCTTATGATGTTCTTGGAGCTAACATGTGGAAAAAAACCTTTCCCAAATCACAAAACCCAAAGTATACTGCTTGTCCGTGCCAATACCTGAATGGGGTTGCATGCAGGTCAGACTTGCTGTGCTGAAAGCAATACTGAAATTTCTGTCTGCGATTTATGCCAAACTAGCACATCTGGAGTCTGTAATGGTAAGCCTGGGCGTCTCTGTAGCAACGCGACACTTTATTTTAAATGCTTTGTTTTTGCACATTCTTACCTTCATCGAAAAACCCCAGCTCCTGCAATTTGGATATTTCCCGTGGCCACATTGTGATTTAAAAGATATTTCGATGAACTGTTCACCCCTAGCATTCAGCTAACAAAAAACAAGTGCATGTCTGAAAGGGGCTTTTTGTGTTCATTTGACTGTGCTCAACCCTTTACTTTCAATTTGCACAAACCTCTTTTCCGTTTCATATTGACTATGAAAGCCAATAAGGCAGCAAGCGCGATGGAAAGTAGGATGGCTAACGGTAATACCCCTGCAAAAACAGAAAAAGTCAAGGTTCAATTTGGATGTAGTCAAAGAAATGCACCCTTCTTAAATATTCAAGAATATGTTTAACTTACATGGTACCAGAGATACATTGGAGACTTGTGTTTCTCGCCCTCGGGTGGAAATTGTGATTCCGTGGGTCTGCAATGAAGATAGATAAACTCTTTGTTTTAGATGGGCTGTATCTGCTTTTAAGGCTGAATTAAAACGCTTATTTCTGAAACAAAGGGCTTTTCTAGGTTCTGTTATGCTTTCAAGGTCCCATATGTTGAAAATCCATTCATATTATGTTTTGAAGTTTAGACAAACTTGGAGGTAAAAGATGTCACATTGCCCCTGCACAAGTAGATGACCTTCCAGCTTAACA